GGTGGGGGGAAATGGTATGCCCTTGTGAGTGCTGTCAAAAAGTAGAAAAAATGGACAATGACAGCTCTCTATGGATAAAATTTGATTGTAGCAAATGCAGCTATGAAACTGAGTTCTTCGGTGTCATTAGGGTTGATAGGATGTGGAACTGCAGAGACCAGGAGATAGAATTTAATTCTTTAAAAAAAGATATTTATTTTTCCAGAATGGACAGCCAAGATTAAATAAGTCAGGAATTTGTGACCCATAAGCATCAATGGTGTTGCTTTTAATTGTTATAGAGTCAGTTCCAACTTATATTAACATAGGATAGTATTTCTTGGAGGGGATGAAGGGTTTGAACAACTGGCCTTGTGGTTCGCACTCAAGTGATGGTAATGTAATGGTGAAAAAACATATCATTTTTTTAGAGGTTTTTCAGGATAATTTTACATAGATAAATTAGATTTAAAAATTCTTTGAAAAGTTTTTACCATGTCACTGGTTGGTTGGTTTGTCTAATGTCTCCTTTGCATTTGTGTTTTAAACACATACATAGCCATATAATAAGTGATTCATTTTAACAAAATCTGCAACCATTTTTTGACATTTCCAAATTTCTCCCAGAATATTATTTTCAGCAATAAGTAATCCAAATTTAAAATCATATAAACAGTTAATATTTTTTAAAACTGTTTAAAAATAAGAATGCACACACATACAAAGGAGCATCAAAAGGTTGGTAGGAGGATAGAATTAAAAGATAATAGAATTTTCTGCAAAACTTTTATTTTATATCTGACTAAAGGAGCTCTGGTAGCATAGTGGTTACCAATCAGGCTGCTAACCTCAAGTTCGGCAGTTCGAAACTACCCATGGTTCCATGGGAAAAAGATGAGGAGTTCTGCTCCCATAAAGATTTACAGCCTTGGAAACCCTGTGCAGGGTCACTATGAGTCGGAATTGACTCCACGGTACTTAACAACAACATCCTGTTGTGGTGCTGTGGGTTAATGCACTGGACTACAAGGTTGATTTGAATTGCAAGGTTGGCTGTTCAAGCTCACGACTTGCTCCTCAGAAATCCTATACAGGGTCTCTATGGGTCGGAACTGACTTTACAGCACTGAACAACATCTATCTATCTATGTATCTATCTATGTATCTATGTATCTATGTATCTATGTATCTATGTATCTATCTATGTATCTATCTGTCTACTTAACACTTGATCAATTTTTTCTTCAGATAGTTTATGCTCAGTTACACAAATACTAATTATACTTGCATATTATATTCATGGCAATGTAAAAATCCCAATGCTTATATTAGGAAGAAAATTTCTATGTCTTCATCAACTGTCCAGCAGTGGTTTAGGCATTGTAGATTGTCCACAGCAAGGGTGGAGAACATCCTGCCCACAGGCAGTAAAAGGCCTGCAAAAATCATTTCAGGTGGCCCTGCCAAGACAACTGCAGGAAGGAGTCACAATTCAATAAATCTAGAAGTTTTTTTCATAGCATTGTAAATTTATATTAAGTGATGCTATAAACATTAAAACTGAATGTTTTAAAATTAAGAAAGATGTGTGACAAGGTTGTATTCTTTCATCATACTTATTCAACCTGTATGCTGAGCAAATAATTTGAGAAGCTGGGTTCTATGAAGAAAACATGGCATTGGGATTGGAGGAAGACTCATTAGCAACCTGTGATATGCAAATGATACAACCTTGCTTGCTGACAGTGAAGAGGACTTAAAACATTTACTGATGAATATCAAAGAGCACAGCCTTCCATATGGATTGCATTTCTATGTAAAGAAAACAAAAATCCTCACCACTGGACCAATAAACAACATTATTATTGAAGGAGAAAAGATTGACGTTGTCAAGGACTTCATTCTTCTTGGAACAACTATCAACACTCATGGAAGCAGCAATCAAGAGCTCAAATGACATATTGCATTAAGCAAATCTGCTGCACAAGAACTTTTTAAAGTGTTGAAGAGCAAAGATGTCAGCTTGAGGACTACGGTGCACCTGACCCAAGCCATGGTATTTTCAATAACTTCATATGCATGTGAAAGCTGAACAGTGAATAAGGAAGACCTTAGAAGAATTGATGCTTTTTGAGTTATGGTGTTGAAGGAGAATATTGAAAGTGCCGTGGGCTGCCAAAAGAACCAATAGATCCATTTTGGAAGAAGTGTAGCCAGAGTGCTCCTTAGGGACCAAGATGGCCACACTTCATCTCTCATACTTTGGCCATATTGTCAGGAGGGAACAGTTGCTGGAGAAGGATATCATGTTTGGTAAGGTGGAAGGTCAGAGAAAAAGAGGAAAACCCCCAATGATATGGATTGGCCAAGTGGCAGCATCCATGGACTCAAGCGTGGCAACAGTAGTGAGGTTGGGTCAGGATTGGGCAGTGTTTCATTATGCTGTGCATAAGGTTGCTATGGGTCGGTACCAACTTGATGGCACCTAACAACAACATAAATATCCAAATGACTGTTGGCAGAAAAAAATTTCCCCACCCCTATTCTACAGAAATGAGTTAGAACCCTAGATCTGACATGAAAGTGTGATTTCTGAGAAGGGACATGGAAAATAATATTAATTATTACCATTTTTAGATGATGGAGAGCCAAGATGTTAAGTCACAGTTATAGAGAGTATGAGCAGCTATTAGCAATCAGAATTGATTGGTTAGAAATTTTCTAGAAAGAATTGGCAAATTAAATTCAAATAACTATTTATCTCTATATTCTACTTTCTATGCATACAGGCCAGGGCATACATAGACAATGGAGAGTCCAAAAAGATCAGACAAAAGTGGTAGTGGTGGTGGTGGTGTGCCATGGAGTTGGTTCATAGTGACTCTGTACAGGTTTCGGAGGCTGGAAATATTTACTGGAGCAGAAAGCTTTACTTTTCTCTCTTGGAGTCACTGGTAATTTCGAAATGCTCCCCTTGCTGTTAGCAGCCTGACTCACAACCACTTTTCTATCAGAGATCCTTTCCGACAAAGCTATACTATGCAAAATGAGTATCTTTATGTTTTGCACATTTTACTAAACTTGTTTCACCCAATGGAATTCTTTTAAAATCATATGTTTCATAAATAGAAAACTAAGCTATTGTGAAATTTGTATTCCGTAAATTAAAAGCAGATCTTATTTCACATTCAACATTGTACTTGTACTAATTTCCACACTTTTCATTTTATTAGCATATTGTGGCTACTTGTTCAAATGATGAAAAGATAATGCAATATAAATATGTCAAAAAAATTTGTGTCATGTTAAACTTAAAACATCTGTTTATATAAAACTTTTGTTGGTTAAATTTATTAGTTAGAGACTTTTCTAGTATGTTTTAGTATTATGAATAGACTTATCTTATTTGATACTGTTAGCTTTCCCTTCTCTGCATTATTAGTAAAGGTGTGTAAGTTCTGGTAAATTCCAGGTAGAGTGACCCTCAGACTTGATGATATAAAAGCAGAAACATAACTTCTGTATACTGTAAGAGACATATAACCTTGAGCAGATCATTCTATAATTTAAATTACATTTTAAAAACTAATGTAATTATATAATGTAATGATTTGTAATTATTTCAAACATGATCATCAAACTGTCTATCATATTTCCTTCTAAAAGAACTCTATTTGTAAAACAAAACAAAACAAAAAAGATGTGCTTGCTTGAAATAAAAAAAAAAAAAAGTTACCAGTGAGTTGTGACATTAGAGGATGCATAAATGAAAACTCGAGCCTTTAAATAATCACATGATTAAGAATGAATTGCTGTCAGGCATGCAACATCTTATATCTCTTAAAACATCATTTTTGGGATCTTACATTTGTTAGTATACCTACATACTTATTGAAGATATCTCTCAAGGATTCTTTGACTCTCTCATTCCGGAGGCTGTAGATGAAAGGGTTCAGCATGGGTGTTATAATGGTATTCAGTACTGTGGCAAATTTGTTAATGTCCACTGCATTACCTTTTTTGGGCCGGACATAGAGGAAGATGGAGCTCCCATAATAGAGTATAACCACTGTAACGTGGGAGACACATGTGGAGAAGGCTTTTTGCCGTCCTTGGACAGAGGGAATCCTAAGAATGGTAATCACAATATAAGTGTAAGACACTCCTGTGAGAATCAGGGAGCCCAAGAGCAACACAGCAGAGGAGATGAAGTCGGCAAACTCAGCCAAAGAAATATCTGTACAGGCTAGCTTTAGCATTGGGGCTCTGTCACAGAAGAAATGATGGATTTTATTTGGCCCACAAAATATCATAGGGGCAGTTAAGACAGATGGCCCCAACATTGACAAAAAAGCACCCACATAGGATCCCAGAAGCAAGAGTATACATGTCTGTCTGTTCATGATGATGGCATATCTTAGTGGGTTACAGATGGCAACATATCTGTCAAAGGACATAACACCCAATATGAAGAATTCTGCAGATCCCAGGAGGAAGTAGAAGATAGACTGTATGAGACATCCCAAAAAAGATATTGTTTTGTTGAGTGAAAAAGTGTTGACTAACATCTTTGGGACCACAGTAGAGGTGATAGTAACCTCAATGAAGGAAAGGTTGGCTACAAAGAAGTACATTGGTGAATGTAGATGATAGTCAAAACACACTAGTAGGATAATCATGGTGTTGCCAATCAGAGATGTCATGTACATAAGAAGGAATACAACAAAGAGGAGAAATTCTATTTCTTTCTCATTCTGAAACCCTAGAAGGATAAATTCTGTGACTCTGGTGGTGTTTTTTTGATCCATAATATTCTCAGTTCACCCTGGAAACACAGAAGGAGAAGCTAATGATTGGTCCTTGCCTCTTAATTATACAAATTCAAGGGTAGGTAACAAAAATATTGCAACTAGTGTTACAGTTCATACATGTAGGAATTTATTCCAAGCAAAACATGTATAAGCATATATTATGATCAATGGATGGCTTAAGACAAGTTCTCTTATTAATAAACTTATCTTAGTCTCTTTTGTTGTTGTTAAGTGCCATTGAGTCAGATCTGACCCATAGCGACCCTATACAGGGTTTCCGAGGAGCAACTGGTGAGCTTGAACCGCCGACCTTGCAGTTCAAACAGCTTTGCAGTCTGGCACATTAACCCACAGTGCCACACCAGGACTCCTTCAAAGAAAAAAGTCCAATCAAAACAGTGTCTTCTAAGAAGATCATCCGGAACAGTTAAATTCAAGACAGAGAGGTTAGCTCAGAAGATGATTGTGATTGTTTTTTGGAATTCCAAAGAAGTAATCTGAATAGAGATA